ATAGATCAGACATAACAATTTTAACATTTTAGCAGCTAAATATGCCTGCTAACTTGGGACGGTTTAAGGGATAGTATCTGCAATAGAACGTTCTTAATCAAACTTAAGATTTTTTGCTTCTTCAGAATTAAGATTCTGGGAAGTAGCAACTGCATTAAAATCAGTTTTTTTGATAACTAATGCTTTAACCCTAACCTCATTGCGAACTCTTTTACGATTTTCTATAACTCTTTGGCTCTCATTCATTTATATAAGTTGGAGAGAAGCACCAGTACTGGCAATAAGACTACAGAGCTTTTCAATAAAATATCTTGCAGAAAGGCATTTCTGATACTCGACTTCAATGAATGTTGTTACAGCCGGAACTTCGTCAATTTTATAAGAAATGGTATTGTTATCCCATTTATGGTAACCCTTTATTGCTGTAGGTAAGTTATTAGGCCGAGCACTAGCAAGTTCAGCTTGAATATTTTCACTACCTGGCAGACGAAAAAGTTCATTAGAATTTTTTTGGTAGAATATGGAAACAATACGACGAGGATAATCACGAATTCAGTAAAGCATTTGTGCAAGAGCCTTAACATGAACCAGAGTGGCGATATTTGTAATAGCTATAACTATATCGAAGTGGCCTGTAACTTCGAATAATATTCCTGCCTCTACAGTATTTGTATAGGCCGCACAGTCAAGCTCGCCCAAGCGATATTAATATCAGAAAAGTCTTTTTGCCGTTGTTTCCCATCCATATCTCCATAATAAGCACAAGCTCTGATAGGCGAATTATTAGGCTTTATCAGCTTTGATGCCTTTTTTACTAATGCTCTACTCCTGTAGATACAAATGCCACATGTTTCCCCTGCTTCAAAAGCTCATATCCTATTTGCATAGCTTTAGCTCCACTATTCGGATTATAAAGAATTTCAACTGTCTCACCCATATGAGACTGGTATCTGTTATCAATTATACAAATATCTTCATCACAATATGGCTTTAGAAAAGCTAGCGTTGAGATGTTTGCGAAGGCATCCATTGCCAATACATGTCTCGCAGATCTTAAAACATCACGCATTGTGTTTTCAAATTCCCACACATTTGTACTACTAGACATTTGATGCATAATAGCATTGGCTTTATCAAGAATAGCCACAAATAGACACGCTGTGAACTCGATATGGGAAAGACTCTCAACCTGTACTATAATAATATCCCACTCATTTATAGATAAGTCTCCTTGCATATTTTGGTAATTGCAAATTCAAAAACCAGATGCTTTCAGTTCATCAAGCTTTGTTTTCGATTCATTGCTAAGAGATTTTTAATAAGAGATTCAGATATAGCATGGCAAATAAGAGACATCATGTACCTTATTATTTAGTACCATAATAATTTCTCTTAATGTAGTAGTTTTCCATGTTGCTGGAGATAAGTTAATTAGTGTAGTTGTTTTTTTAGTATTTAAGAAATCGGGATATGATTCGGGTACATCTTTCAGCCTTTTAACATTAATAACTTTTCCTGGCAACTCTACAAGAGGGTGTAGTTTTGCTATGATATTGGCCACTCTATCAACAATTTTTTGTATAGGTCTATCTTTCAGCTTGATTATACCTGATGCTTCCCCAAATACCAATCCTTTATGGTCTGGCTTATATTGTTTCTGCTGATAACACCTAAGTACAAAGTGCTCATTGCTTCGAAGAAAGCCATATAACTGATCCTTCTCATGCTTGATTTCACAAATAGGATATGCTTCTAATGACCGAGCTTGAAAGTTGACAAATCCCTTTCCAATTTTTCTGATCTCAAGCCATCCATATTTTACTATAACTAGACTAGCTCCCTTGCTTAAAGTGGTTTCATCTTCAATAGGCTGGAATTTCTCCTCTCTTTTTGGCTTCTCAGAAGAAAAGGTTTGAGGCCAGATTTCAGAAGAATCAGATTTAGGTTGAACTAAATAATCCTCTAGCTTGCGGTAC